CATAGGAGACGCCCCAGAGTCCCCAGACTACCTACGTGACGATGCAGCCTTATTCAAAAAAGCCGCCTTTGACGTTTGTCCTCGATAAAGCCTGAGGACTCAACCAGGCTTGGCGAAATATCAGCTAAGCCAACTGTGTTGTAATAAAAATGTATGCTATTATTGATTCAGTAAAATAAACAACCACACAAAAAAAAAACAGAAACTCAGCCCGATGACAATCCGCTCATTCACAGGGAAATGTTACACAATTAAGATTTGTGAAACTGTCAATTAGATTTTCCTCACCAGCACCGACCAATTTTCGAAACTTGCAACAGTACAGCGTATAGCCTCACCTACCATAAAAGAGAAGAGTGGTCAACAAAAGACTCACCTACCGACTATAATCATTTCTTTGCTTCATTTATAGCTTAAGACCTATGATTTTAGGTTCCTCCACCTGATACCCTTCCTACTAGCTACAGTGACACCGTGTGTTACGGATTACTCGCACTCCAATTATTTATCAATTTTGGACGACGATGTACTTGTAAGGGACAATCACGATGTCTCACTCTACGGAATATGCGCAAGTAAGTAGATCATGAAAATAAAGAACACGTTTCCACAAGTCCATATGCGTAAGGTTTTGGTGGTGTACACAATAGCTGCTGTCCGCTCTACACGTGCACAATAGAATCGTGTGTTGTGACTTCTTGGGCAAGGCCCTAAAGGTTGTCAATCGCACCAAGGCCCAGCTGGTCGAATCAATCAAAAGGGAATTCGTTATAGATTCCAGGACACAAGGGTACCTATACTAGTCAAAAGAATTCAAGGGTCATGCTGATCGAAAATCCATTTTCAACTAACTCACAGACTATTACTGTTATTATATATTATATATATTACAATTATTATATTTTAAAAATATCTACAATAATAATTTAATACATTTAAGAATTTAACCCCTACATTTAGAGTTCGCCATCTGTTCTGGTTGCAAACAACACCCTCATTCTAAAACTCTGATAAGATCATCGAGAAATGTGAAAAACAGATATCGGCCCTATCTCTACCAAATCTCCAGCAGATAAGAGAGAGGAGTACTTACACTTCGTCAAGACGAGGTCTTGTCAGCTTTTATCGCTACTTAAAAGCCGAGGACAGCTGTTCTTAAAGAGGGGAAGTAGTTAACCACCCATTGCAGTGGGCTATCCATAAAGCTTAGATTTAAATCTTCTAATGTATTTTTAGTATTTGTGTCTTGATTAAATTAAGAACATTGACTAGAATAAATGTCTTATATTTCCGACTCGCTTTACTTTTAACAGAGTAATTATGCTTTGTTTGATGTTAGGTACGCTGTGGGCAGCCTGCTTGCTTGGGTATTTGTATATATGCATGTGTAATTTTGAGTAATCATGTATACATGATTCGAATGCTTGTATCGGTAGCTGAGGGTGTATTCTTGTTGGCCACTCCTGACTATGCCCTTGTACTTGTTCTGTTGTTGAATTTTAGCTTAAAGGCTTCAAAAAGTAAACAAGGCAACGCCAGGTTAATGCCATTATTATCGTGACTGTACATGTTAAAGTTATACATTCGCGACCGAAAGCATAAGAAATGATTACACACGTTCACTTACCTAAGTTATTAGCATTGACGATATTTTCGTTGTTACATTTGGCTGATGTGGTCGCAGTCAAAATTGGTGGCTTCTTAAAAAGAGAATTTTTAGAACACATTACGGTTTCGTCAATACTATAAATTAATTTAGATTGGTTTACCTGATCGACTTTATCATAATCAGCACTTTCAAAAGAAGAAGAATTGGTGGTTTCTAAAGATGCATTTTGGTAACAAACCGGTACTGTATTATTTGTATTACTTGGGCTTAGCCGTTCCTCAGGTTCTAAAATAGATGTTCTTGTTGGGCTGAGTGGCTTATTATTTGCTTCCTCGAGCAAATTTTTCTTTGGGCTTACAGCATTAATAGATTTGAAAACTAATTTATTATTTTCACCACTTGGGCTTTTTAGTGATGGTATGATGACGTCCGTTTGCGACTCTTGTATAGATTCCAAGCTTTCTATTTGAGGGCTAAATATTGTAATTGACTCTTTTATAATAATGTCGTCTTGAACTGTTTTAATATTGTCCTCGGCTTGCTCATTTATATTAACATTATACTCGGTAATAACATCGTTATCTATTTCAGTTTGAAGTTTTGAAGTTTTATCAGCCACAGCTGTTTTTGTATCCTTCTGCCGATTCTGTCGTGTATTTGTATTTTCATATCCATGGTCTTCTAATATTGGTTCATTTAAGTTATCATGAACACTTATGTCTGAAAAAAATAAAATGGTAAATTGGACTCTAAAAACAATATAGACTGGCGTAGTAGAGAATACCAAACTAAGATATATCCAGCTCCCAGCTCCGAGTTGCTGGAACCCATATGTTGCGAGTAGTGGGTACGTCGCTGTGAAATCACCCCTCACTAATGATAGCAAAGTCTCTATCGACAGTATACCAGCCATACGTTTGAGTTGCAACTTGTAAGTTGGCCTGTCATAGGGAGGTGGTTTGAAATACCCTAAGCTTAAGGCAAAGCTGCTAATACAAACCAATCCAAAGCTCCGGACTGATTTGATTGCGGTTTAGGAAGGGGAACAACATTTGAACAATGTTAGCATTGACGATATTGTATCGTTTACCAAACAGAATATAAACTTGGCAGAATATAAACTTGTTTAATAAAATGGCCCTGAATCCGACTTAGCCACAATTTACATTGAGTTATACCTGCCGGTGTACGTTATTGATACGATAGAAAAGCCGGTTAACTAAGAAAACTTCAGATATCAAATAATACCGAACGCTATAAATTATGACAACCCTTTTATCAGATCACGGTCGATTATTACCTCCCAAAATGCTGACCAAGTTAAATGAGGTAGTCATGAACTTCAAAAGAAAGTACGACGGGCATACAAGAAAACAGGAACTCAGCCCTACGAAAATCCGCTCATTCACAGGGAAATGTTACACAATTACGATTTGTAAAACTGTGAATTAGATTTCCCTCACCAGCATCGACTAATTTTCGAAACTTGCAACAGTACAGTGTATAGCCTCACCTCCGATAGGTCTATAGGCGTTTTACACACCTAGGCCAGTTTTCATTAGGAAATAAAGAATAGAGTACTGTGAGCGCAAACCTCACAAAACATAAGGGCGGTACTAAAAGGAAAGAGGAGGCTAGGGAATAAACTTACTCCAATATGTACACTTAGAGACACAGGTCCTCGTTAAAAGAGAAGAGTGGTCAATAAGGACTCACCTACCGACTATAATAATTTTTTGCTTCATTGATAGCTTAAGCTATGATTTTAGGTTCCTCCAACTGATACACACGGTGTCACGTGTTACGGATTATTCACTCTCCAATTATTTACCAATTTTGGACGACGATGTAATTGTAAGGGACAAACACGATGTCTCACTCTACGGCTTATGCGTAAGTAAATAGAACATGAAAATGTGGACCACGTTTCCACAATTCCATATGCGTAAGGCTTTGGAGGTGTATAAGTTAACACGCGCAACAAAGTTGTTGCTGAGTGCGCCGCGGTACCGGATGCCCATGGTGCAACGGTCAGCAGATTCTGGCTGTTAAACGGGCAACGATACCCGATACCCTCGCATGCGCGCGCTGAGTGACCAGCGATGGACGGTCACGAGGCACGGACTCAGCGAGATGCCGGCGGTTCTGCCGGCGATCCAGAGCTTCGAGGGATAGGCTAAGATATTTTATAATTTAGTTTTATTAAGTGAGCTCCAGTGCCCTCACGGGCCTGCCAATAAATAATATAATATATAATCTACCAACCCGTTTCGGTTAATTGGCGCCCAACAGAAAAAAGTTCTCGCGAAGAAGACTCTAAAAGAGAGCTTTAAAAGTCCCTGAGAAACGTTGTATTCCCAGCGCAACCTCGCGATCTGCCCTTGGCGTTAGCCTTAGCTCAAGAAGCAGAGGCTAGCAACGAACGCGATATGTTCGCAGCAAGTTTCGCTAGACACATGGAGGAGTAAGCACAGAAACCATCTGGTCAAAAAAACCAGAACTGGCGCAATAACCCTCAACAGAACCATAACGATAATCAGTCCCTAGGGGGCCAGCGGAAGAATCCGCATTATACCAAGAGCCAGGGGGGTGGCCAAAATCAAGCAGGTGCAGGTCCGGCCAGTAACAAACAGCGTTTTCAGCTTCAAAGCCCAAACCCCCAAAGCCAGCCCGCACCCGAGCCTATGGAAATAGATTCGTCATCTCGGTATAAAAAAAAGACCAGTTACCAACAGGGTAAATCAGGGAACATTAAGCGTAGCCAGAAAATAAACTATGCTTCGCAGGAACCTGCAAGTGACCAGGAATATGAGTCAACGGCCCAAGCCGATGCCACAAAAGTTGACGGCGACCTCTCTGATGCTGAAAGTTGCAATTTTAATCGGTCGCTGCCTGCTACCCTTCGTCATGCGAGTACTAAAAGGACGTACAATCAGGTTGCTCGTGCAATAGACTTGACAGTAGGTCCTCCTAGTCGCCGCGCAGATCGAGTTTGTTTCCGATATTCGATAGCTTGCAAAGTTTCCAAGTAATCGATAAAAATCGATGTCGAAATCCAGTTTTTTGCGCAATTTTATTTAATAATAAGAGCTAGAGTCGCCAAACTTGATGTAGCTTTTAGAATAGTATATATATATGTCAAGTATCTTTCATTTTATAGCTATCGCCACCTCCCCTTTACCACCACAAAGCTATAAATCAAGTTAATAAACCAACTTGTATTGCCCACTAATTCAAGCCACAATTAATGCAATTGATATTACAACACGAATATTCTATATTCTATTCTACTATAAGATATACTGTCGAAAATTTCATTAGGATCGGTTAAGAAACACAAAAGTTATGTACGCACCTGTAAGCATCAGCTAGCGCAAATTCCAAGAATTTCTTTGTTCATGTACACACACACATTCATGTGTGTGTACGTCGCCTTTTTTTTTTTATGTTTGTTTATTGTATTGAATCAAAAATAGCATACATTTTTATTACAACACAGTTGGCTTAGGTGAATTACGCCAAGCCAGGTTGAGTCCTCAGGCTTTATCGTTGAAAAACTTCGCCATCTACCAGGGGATCCCTGACCAGTGCCTCTCAATCGCTGATGATTGGGATCTCCCCAGCGATCACCTGGCCCTGATAGTTACCCTGGAGAGCAGGGCCAGGGTGGTCAGCGCAATACCGAGGCTGATCAACGCACGCACTGATCTCGGTGTCTCCCAGAGGCAGATGAGTGAAAGTATTCACCTTAACACCGAAATCTGCACTGGACGGGATGTAGAGGACGCCATTGAGCTGCTCAACGCAAAGATTCGCGCAGCAGCAGCTGAAGCCACTTCCCCACTAGTTGCCAGGCGGCTGGACAATGCTGGCAACGGACTGTCCGCAGACATAGTCAACCTGCTCAGGATCAAGAGGCACAGCATCCATGGGACAAGGCGGAGTGGCGAAGAGCGGAGCAGGCACAAAGACGCATCCTTCTCTAGAAGGTTGGAGAGCATGGACTATACCCATGACTTAGGATACTTGCTCTGGCGAGCAACTAAAAACCTGAAGCGCCAACGCTGGAGAGCCGTTCCTCTTCTTCGCCACAATGGTAAATACTGGCTAACAGACGAAGAGCAAGCTGATACCTTCGCCAGCCACCTGGAGGAACGGTTTACACCTCTCCCCAGAAGCGCGATGAAAGTACCCGAGCGTTGGAGACACCTCTACAGTTGTCACCACCTATCGGCCCCATCCGCGTGGAGGAGGTGATCAACGTCGTCAAAGTCCTTCCCAGGGCTAAAGCTCCGGGCCATGATGGAATATGCCACACCACTCTGAAGTCCCTATCAATGCGAGCGCTCCTTTCTATAACGTTGATCTTCAACGCCATATTAAGGACGCAACACTTCCTTGCCCAGTGGTAGTTAGCGAGGATCCATATGATCCATAAGTCGGGCAAGCCGGAATATGACCCTGAGTCATATGGGCCGATCAGTCTCCTGCCTTCCTTGTCGAAGGTTTGGGAAAGGCTGATTATCGCCCGACTTTCAAAGCTTATGGATCACATGGCCATCCTTCCTGATCACCAATTTGGGTTCAGGGGAGGGCATGGCGCTGTTGAACAGGTTCACAGAGTGTTTAACCATGTTCTTAAGGCTTGCGACGACAAAGACTACTGCTATGGAGTCTTTTTAAACGTTAAGCAGGACTTCGATCGTGTCTGGATTGATGGATTGCTCCAGAAAATCAAGATAAGTCTTCCCGCCCCCTTCTTTCTATTTCTGCGCTCTTATCCAATGGAGCGAAAGTTCGAAGTCAAAGTTAGAGTAGCAATCTCTGCTGCTCGCAAAATAAAGACGGGTGTCCCCAAGGCAGCGTACTGGGCCCCTTTCTCTACAATTTGTTCACGGCAGACATCCCCACTCCGGATGACCTACACTAGTTTGCCACCCCAGGCAAGTACTTGATGGCCACATTTCCCGATGAAGTGGCAATATTTTACTCCGCCCACTGCGAGTATGAAGCCACTGACGGGGCCCAGGAATACATCCACTTGCTTGAGAGCTGGACACGCAGGTAGAACATCAAGCTCAATGCCTCGAAGTACCAGGTGGTCAACTACACACTGAGGCTTGGCAAGGCTCCAGCAATCTGGATAGATGGTAGCCCCCTTCACCCTGGCAGAAGCGCCAAGTATCTTGGAATTGACTGGATAAGAGGCTTCGTTTTCGGGCGCACATCGACGGCCTTCTTAAGCCGTCGATAAGATGGCCAAGGCCAACTGGTTACTAAACCCCAACAGCCCATTGTCACTTCGCTGCAAACGGGCAGGTTGCAACGTCGGACAAATCGAAGACGGATTCAGACACTCCAAAACTTAACCTTGCGTCGAATGACCGGTGCTGACTGGTACGTCAGAAATTCTACCTTGCACAGAGACCTCAAAATGGAGACCATAGACAGCCAAGTCAGAGCATTCGCCAACCGGTACAATTAACGCTTGCAGCGACACTGCAACCGGGTAGCACGAGACCACGCTGGGAGGTGTGTAGTCGGGAGGCTCAAGAGAAGATCGTTCAAGGACCTCCTCCAACCACGACATAGGAGACGCCCCAGAGTCCCCAGACTACCTACGTGACGATGCAGCCTTATTCAAAAAAGCCGCCTTTGACGTTTGTCCTCGATAAAGCCTGAGAACTCAACCAGGCTTGGCGAAATATCAGCTAAGCCAACTGTGTTGTAATAAAAATGTATGCTATTATTGATTCAGTAAAATAAACAACCACACAAAAAAAAAACAGAAACTCAGCCCGATGACAATCCGCTCATTCACAGGGAAATGTTACACAATTAAGATTTGTGAAACTGTCAATTAGATTTTCCTCACCAGCACCGACCAATTTTCGAAACTTGCAACAGTACAGCGTATAGCCTCACCTACCATAAAAGAGAAGAGTGGTCAACAAGGACTCACCTACCGACTACAATCATTTTTTTGCTTCATTATGATTCCTATGATTTTAGGTTCCTCCAACTGATACCCTTCCTACTAGCTACAGTGACACCGTGTGTAACGGATTACTCACACTCCATTTATTTATTTATTTTGGACGACGATGTACTTGTCAGGGGCAGATACGTGCACAATAGGATGGTGACAAGTTCTGACTTTTTGGGAAAGGCCCTAAAGGTTGTCAATCGCACCAAGGCCCAATTTTGGACGACGATGTACTTGTAAGGGACAAACACGATGTCTCACTCTACGGCATATGCGCAAGTAAGTAGATCATGAAAATAAAGAACACGTTTCCACAAGTCCATATGCGTAAGGTTTTGGTGGTGTACACAATAGCTGCTGTCCGCTCTACACGTGCACAATAGAATCTTGTTGTGACTTCTTGGGCAAGGCCCTAAAGGTTGTCAATCGCACCAAGGCCCAGCTGGTCGAATCAATCAAAAGGGAATTCGTTATAGATTCCAGGACACAAGGGTACCTATACTAGTCAAAAGAATTCAAGGGTCATGCTGATCGAAAATCCATTTTCAACTAACTCACAGACTATTACTGTTATTATATATTATATATATTACAATTATTATATTTTAAAAATATCTACAATAATAATTTAATACATTTAAGAATTTAACCCCTACATTTAGAGTTCGCCATCTGTTCTGGTTGCAAACAACACCCTCATTCTAAAACTCTGATAAGATCATCGAGAAATGTGAAAAACAGATATCGGCCCTATCTCTACCATATCTCCAGCAGATAAGAGAGAGGAGTACTTACACTTCGTCAAGACGAGGTCTTGTCAGCTTTTATCGCTACTTAAAGGCCGAGGACGGCCGTTCTTAAAGAGGGGAATTAGTTAACCACCCATTGCAGTGGGCTATCCATAAAGCTTAGATTTAAATCTTCTAATGTATTTTTAGTATTTGTGTCTTGATTAAATTAAGAACATTGACTAGAATAAATGTCTTATATTTCCGACTCGCTTTACTTTTAACAGAGTAATTATGCTTTGTTTGATGTTAGGTACGCTGTGGGCAGCCTGCTTGCTTGGATATTTGTATATATGCATGTGTAATTTTGAGTAATCATGTACACATGATTCGAATGCTTGTATCGGTAGCTGAGGGTGTATTCTTGTTGGCCACTCCCGACTATGCCCCTGTACTTGTTCTGTTGTTGAATTTTAGCTTAAAGGCTTCAAAAAGTAAACAAGGCAACGCCAGGTTAATGCCATTATTATCGTGACTGTACATGTTAAAGTTATACATTCGCGACCGAAAGCATAAGAAATGATTACACACGTTCACTTACCTAAGTTATTAGCATTGACGATATTTTCGTTGTTACATTTAGCTGATGTGGTCGCAGTCAAAATTGGTGGCTTCTTAAAAAGAGAATTTTTAGAACACATTACGGTTTCGTCAATACTATAAATTAATTTAGATTGGTTTACATGATCGACTTTATCATAATCAGCACTTTCCAAAGAAGAAGAATTGGTGGTTTCTAAAGATGCATTTTGGTAACAAACCGGTACTGTATTATTTGTATTACTTGGGCTTAGCCGTTCCTCAGGTTCTAAAATAGATGTTCTTGTTGGGCTGAGTGGCTTATTATTTGCTTCCTCGAGCAAATTTTTCTTTGGGCTTACAGCATTAATAGATTTCGAAACTAATTTATTATTTTCACCACTTGGGCTTTTTAGTGATGGTATGATGACGTCTGTTTGCGACTCTTGTATAGATTCCAAGCTTTCTATTTGAGGGCTAAATATTGTAATTGACTCTTTTATAATAATGTCGTCTTGAACTGTTTTAATATTGTCCTCGGCTTGCTCATTTATATTAACATTATACTCGGTAATAACATCGTTATCTATTTCAGTTTGAAGTTTTGAAGTTTTATCAGCCACAGCTGTTTTTGTATCCTTCTGCCGATCCTGTCGTGTATTTGTATTTTCATTTCCATGGTCTTCTAATATTGGTTCATTTAAGTTATCATGAACACTTATGTCTGAAAAAAATAAAATGGTAAATTGGACTCTAAAAACAATATAGACTGGCGTAGTAGAGAATACCAAACTAAGATATATCCAGCTCCCAGCTCCGAGTTGCAGGAGTTGCGAGTAGTGGGTACGTCGCTGTGAAATCACCCCTCACTAATGATTGCAAAGTCTCTATCGACAGTATACCAGCCATACGTTTGAGTTGCAACTTGTAAGTTGGCCTGTCATAGGGAGGTGGTTTGAAATACCCTAAGCTTAAGGCAAAGCTGCTAATACAAACCAATCCAAAGCTCCGGACTGATTTGATTGCGGTTTAGGAAGGGGAACAACATTTAAACGCTAGAATGTTAGCATTGACGATATTGTATCGTTTACCAACCAGAATATAAACTTGGCAGAATATAAACTTGTTTAATAAAATGGCCCTGAATCCGACTTAGCCACAATTTACATTGAGTTATACCTGCCGGTGTACGTTATTGATACGATAGAAAAGCCGGTTAACTAGGAAAACTTCAGATATCAAATAATACCGAACGCTATAAATTATGACAACCCTTTTATCAGATCACGGTCGATTATTACCTCCCAAAATGCTGACCAAGTTAAATGAGGTAGTCATGAACTTCAAAAGAAAGTACGACGGGCATACAAGAAAACAGGAACTCAGCCCTACGAAAATCCGCTCATTCACAGGGAAATGTTACACAATTACGATTTGTAAAACTGTGAATTAGATTTCCCTCACCAGCATCGACTAATTTTCGAAACTTGCAACAGTACAGTGTATAGCCTCACCTCCGATAGGTCTATAGGCGTTTTACACACCTAGGCCAGTTTTCATTAGGAAATAAAGAATAGAGTACTGTGAGCGCAAACCTCACAAAACATAAGGGCGGTACTAAAAGGAAAGAGGAGGCTAGGGAATAAACTTACTCCAATATGTACACTTAGAGACACAGGTCCTCGTTAAAAGAGAAGAGTGGTCAATAAGGACTCACCTACCGACTATAATAATTTTTTGCTTCATTGATAGCTTAAGCTATGATTTTAGGTTCCTCCAACTGATACACACGGTGTCACGTGTTACGGATTATTCACTCTCCAATTATTTACCAATTTTGGACGACGATGTAATTGTAAGGGACAAACACGATGTCTCACTCTACGGCTTATGCGCAAGTAAATAGAACATGAGAATGTGGACCACGTTTCCACAATTCCATATGCGTAAGGCTTTGGAGGTGTATAAGTTAACACGCGCAACAAAGTTGTTGCTGAGTGCGCCGCGGTACCGGATGCCCATGGTGCAACGGTCAGCAGATTCTGGCTGTTAAACGGGCAACGATACCCGATACCCTCGCATGCGTGCGCTGAGTGACCAGCGATGGACGGTCACGAGGCACGAACTCAGCGAGATGCCGGCGGTTCTGCTGGCGATCCAGAGCTTCGAGGGATAGGCTAAGATATTTTATAATTTAGTTTTATTAAGTGAGCTCCAGTGCCCTCACGGGCCTGCCAATAAATAATATAATTTATAATCTACCAACCCGTTTCGGTTAATTGGCGCCCAACAGAAAAAAGTTCTCGCGAAGAAGACTCTAAAAAGAGAGCTTTAAAAGTCCCTGAGAAACGTTGTATTCCCAGCGCAACCTCGCGATCTGCCCTTGGCGTTAGCCTTAGCTCAAGAAGCAGAGGCTAGCAACGAACGCGATATGTTCGCAGCAAGTTTCGCTAGACACATGGAGGAGTAAGCACAGAAACCATCTGGTCAAAAAAACCAGAACTGGCGCAATAACCCTCAACAGAACCATAACGATAATCAGTCCCTAGGGGGCCAGCGGAAGAATCCGCATTATACCAAGAGCCAGGGGGGTGGCCAAAATCAAGCAGGTGCAGGTCCGGCCAGTAACAAACAGCGTTTTCAGCTTCAAAGCCCAAACCCCCAAAGCCAGCCCGCACCCGAGCCTATGGAAATAGACTCGTCATCTCGGTATAAAAAAAAGACCAGTTACCAACAGGGTAAATCAGGGAACCTTAAGCGTAGCCAGAAAATAAACTATACTTCGCAGGAACCTGCAAGTGACCAGGAATATGAGTCAACGGCCCAAGCCGATGCCACAAAAGTTGACGGCGACCTCTCTGATGCTGAAAGTTGCAATTTTAATCGGTCGCTCCCTGCTACCCTTCGTCATGCGAGTACTAAAAGGACGTACAATCAGGTTGCTCGTGGTGCCAGTTGAAACCCCTTGCCAGGTTAAATCCTTACATGACAGCACAAAGATTGAGAAGAAATGTCTTATTCACTTGTTCTAAGTAAAATCATATTTTTTTATACCCTGAACCCATTAAAAATGGGTAAAAAGGGTATAATGTATTTGTGCAAATGTATGTAACAGGCAGAAGGAAGCATCTCTGGCCCCATAAAGTATATATATTCTTGATCAGCATCAACAGACGAGTCGATCTAGCCATGTCCGTCTGTCAGTATGTATGAACGCCAGGATCTCAGAACCTATAAGAGCAATAGACTTGACAGTAGGTCCTCCTAGTCGCCGCGCAGATCGAGTTTGTTTCCGATATTCGATGGCTTGCAAAGTTTCAAAGTAATCGATAAAAATCGATGTCGAAATCCAGTTTTTTGCGCAATTTTATTTAATAATAAGAGCTAGAGTCGCCAAACTTGATGTAGCTTTTAGAATAGTATATATATATGTCAAGTATCTTTCATTTTATAGCTATCGCCACCTCCCCTTTACCAACGCAAAGCTATAAATCAAGTTAATAAACCAACTTGTACTGCCCACTAATTTAAGCCACAATTAATGCAATTGATATTACAATTGAGAACACACGAATATTCTATATTCTATTCTACTATAAGATATACTGTCGAAAATTTCATTAGGATCGGTTAAGAAACACAAAAGTTATGTGCGCACCTGTAAGCATCAGCTAGCGCAAATTCCAAGAATTTCTTTGTTCAGGTACACACACACATTCATGTGTGTGTACGTCGCCTTTTTTTTTTTTATGTTTGTTTATTGTATTGAATCAAAAATAGCATACATTTTTATGACAACACAGTTGGCTTAGGCTTTATCGTTGAAAAACGTCAAAGGCGGCGTTTTTGAGTAAGGCTGCATCGTCACGTAGGTAGTCGGGAGACTCTGGGGCGTCTGCTATGTCGTGGTTGGAGGAGGTCCTTGAACGATCTTCTCTTGAGCCTCCTGACTACACACCTCCCAGCGAGTTCTCTTGCTACCCGGTTGCAGTGTCGCTGCAAGCGTTAGTTGTACCGGTTGGCGAATGCTCCGACTTGGCTGTCTATGGTCTCCATTTTGAGGTCTCTGTGCAAGGTAGAATTTCTGACGTACCAGTCAGCACCGGTAATTCGGCGCAAGGCCAAGTTTTGGAGTGTCTGAATCCGTCTTCGATTTGTCCGAGATGCAATGTCCCAAACCTGAATACCGTATCTTCAAGTTGGTGCCACCACGACGTTGTAAACTGCCCGTTTGCAGCGAAGTGGCAAGGGGCTGTTGGGGTTTAGTAGCCAGTTGGCCTTGGCAATCTTATAGCGGCAGTGGCTTCATACTCGCAGTGGGCGGAGTAAAATATTGCCACGTCATCGGCAAATGTGACCATCAAGTATTTGCCTGGGGTGGCAAACTCGTGTAGTTCATCCGGAGTGGAGATGTCTGCCGTGTACAAGTTGTAGAGAAAGGGGCCCAGTACTCTGTCTTGGGGGAGACCCGCCTTCATTTTGCGGGCAGGAGAGATTGCTGCTCTAACTTTGACTTCGAGGTCCCGTCACTTTGACTTCGAACTTTGGCTCCATTAGATAAGAGCGCAGAAGTAGAAAGAAGGGGGCGGGAAGACTTATCTCGATTTTCATAGAAGGGTAAGGATTTACTGTTGCATACCCGAAACCTGCTGTTGCATTTCTGTCATCCTCTCGATAACTCGGCTCATGTCCTTGATGGCAGAGGAAAGTCCTTCCCCGTTTCCAGATATCTGCTGTTGCTGTTGTTGCGCAGTCAGCCTCTCCTGTTGCTGTTCCCTCAGCAATCTATGTAGCCTAGCTTGCGCTGCTCCTTCTCGCTGGCTAGCGCTGGGGACGTTGATTTCTTTGCTGAATGCAGCTAGTCCTCTTCTGGTGGCAGCGGCGTATGAATGCCCTTCTAATTGTTCAGTGGGTGCTGTACGGGGGAATTCAACAGGTGTAGGCCCATGAACTTTTGACCTCAATTACACCTTTTATTACACCAAAAAGTGACTTGTACGTCTGCTTTGAATTCTTTCAACAGCATTGCAATTGCGATTGTATTGTTTTCCGTGCTGCTATTTTAATTGGTTTTTTTCTCAATAAAACTCAATTATTGGTGTGGCTCTTGAGTAGAGGCGGCGGCAAGTGGTGCGGTTAGTTGCGAGTTCGAACCCTGCTAAGGGAACAATTTTTTTTAATTTTAATTTTTCTTTATTCCTACTAAAGCAAACGAGCGCGTAGCGCCAGCTGCATTTGGCGTTGGAAGAAAAGGGTTCAGAGTATCCCCTAGTAGGGAGCTCCCGACTAGAACCTCTTACTTGTTATAGTAGATACCCTTAAAGATTTTGACGGCATTATAGGCCTCGGTCTCCTCAAAACGACAATGCCACCATTGTTTTTACAAATAATCAAATTAAAACGAGCTTCGGGTCAGAACCCATTCTTTTCACAAGTTCCCTTAATGTAAATTTCATTCAAATTGACGACGCCGATGTACCGACAGCCGTCCGCGAGTCATTAACAAAAATGATTAAAGAAAGATTAAAAGCCCTATCGAGGCTCTGCCATATGACATCAAAACCATAGCAACGATTAGAACAAACGGGGAACGGGAATACTCAAATTATATCCACACCCCATGGGCGTCGCTAATTTTGTTAATGCAGAAGTTAAACAATTTCTAGCTAACGGCATTATTCGGCTCTCAAAGTCTCCCTACAATAACCCGACTTGGGTCGTTGACAAAAAGGGAACTGACGAAAATGGTCTCCGAAAAAGAGACTTGTTATTGAATTCAGGAAACTGAATCAAAACACGATCGATGACAAATACCCCATTCCCACAATTTCGAAAATCTTGTCGAATATGGGCATGGCCCAGTATTTCACAGTATTCAAATCAGGCTTTCATCAGATCGAACTCGCCGAACAAGACAGAGAGAAAACGGCATTTTCCGTCAACAACGGAAAATATGAGCTTTGCAGACTGCCCTTTGGGCTGAAAAACGCCCCGAGTATTCTCCACAGAGCCATCGATGATGTCCTCAGAGAGAGGATAAGCCAGTCGTGCTACGCTTATGTAGACGACGTAATTAACTTTTCTGAAACGAAAGAAGGACATATTAAGGACATCGATTGGGTCCTTAAAAGTCTTCATGATGCAGGTATGCGATTATCCCAGGAGAAGTCCAAGTTTTTTAAAAAAAATCTTAGAAGATTTGGGATTCATCGTATCCAGGGATGGGATAAAGACCTCACCTGAAAAGGTGCAAAAAATTTCAAATTTCCCAGCCTCACGCACGCTTTTTGACCTTAGATCATTTCTAGGTCTTGCGAGTTACTATCGCTGGTTTATTAAAGATTACGCCAAAATCGCCAAGCCCCTCACGGACGCTCTAAAAGGTGAAAAGGGCAAAATTAGCAAAAACCACTCATGAAAAGTGGAAATCAAACTAAGTCAGAACCAATTACAAACCTTTTCAAGGTTGAAAGAATCTTGGCTTCGGAGGATGTTCTATTAACATACCCCAATTTTAAAAAACCATTCGACCTTACCAGCGATGCCTCCGGTTGTGGTCTAGGAGCTGTTCTATCCCAGAACGGCCGTCCAATCACGATGATTTTACGCACGTTGCATGACAATGAACAAAACTTTGCGGCAAACGAGAGGGAGCTGCTCGCCATCGTTTGGTCACACAAAAAGCTTAGAAACTATCTTCACTTAAGTTCGCATTATCCGATAGGAATCCTAACGCCAAGATAAAACGCTGGAAAGCGTTTATCGACGAGCATGGCGCGAATCTGATTTACAAACCGGGAAAAGAAAACTTTGTGGCGGATGCCCTATCACGCCAGCTAGTAAACACTTTAGAAGATAGCCCGGACTCGGACGTATCCACCTGCCACAGTGAAGAATCACTCATTTTCATAATAGAAACAATTGACAAGCCGGTTAACTGTTTCCGTAATCAGATTATCATAGAGGAAGCAGAAGCTCCCCATGTGTCACACTTGATTAATTTTAAAGATAAAACCAAACACGTAATTAGGTTCTCCGAACGCGACACGCAGTAAGGGTCGATGTAGTTAACGCAATACATTTCGAGCTACCGATATTGGCATTCATCCAACACAAACTGGTTGAAACATTCCCTTCGACAACATTTAAACACTGCAAATTCCTTTTCACAGACATCACCGACACCTCCGAACAAAGGAAGATAATGATATCTGAACACAACCGCGCTCATCGCGCAGCCCAAAAGAACGTGAAACAGGTCTTAAGAGACTATTTCTTCCCAAAGATGACAAAACTAGCTACGGAAATAGCACTAAATTATAGAACCTGTTCAATGGCAAAATACAATCGCCACCCGATCAAACAAGCCCTTAGACAGACACCTGTCCCAACCTACGGTGGAGAAATACTCCACGTCGACGTATTCTCAACAGGTAGAATATCCTTCCTCACCTGTGTTGATACATTTTCGAAACTTGCCATGGTACAACCAATAGAATCGCGAGCAATAGTGGATATAAAATTTCCAATCTTGCAATTGGTTAACCTTATCCCCAAAATTACAACAATTTACTGCGATAACGAGAAATCGTTGAACTCCGAGACAATCAAGTCCGTTCTATTGAACAACTTTAACATCCACATTGCAAATTCACCCCCACGTTACAGCTCGTCAAACGGGCAAATCGAAAGGTTCCATAGCACCCTCACCGAAATATCTCGGTGTATAAAGATCGATACACAAATCGACGATACGGTACAACTAATATTTATGGCCACAATATAGTACAATCGTACAATACACTCGGTAACAAATAAAAAACCTATCGAGGTAATTCACTTCGGTCCCGCCAATGTGGAGAGGGACATAAGAGAATCCAAAAAGCCTAAGAAAAGACCTTAGAACAAGCGAATAGAAATCGCGAATATAAAACCTACCAATTAAACGACAAAGTATGGTTAAAACAGATAACAGAAGGGTAATAAACTAACACCTCTATGTTCTGAGGAAACTGTAAAGGCAGACCCCGTGACGACGGTTCTTATCAAGGGGAGGGTGATCCATAAGGACAACCTCAGTTAGAATCAATAGAATCTGTATAAAACATTCAGCATTTAAAATAATAAAATCTTTAACACTTTTTTAGGTAAGGACTTCGGACAATACTTATAACGATAAACCTGACTTACGTAACCGCCACGACGAAATATACTGGTTACTCACACACACGACACATACCCATAGTGGACGGAGACGTGACGATTTGGGACAGATTCGTATACTACGGACATACTACAAACGTGTCCAGGACGAAAGGAGTACTGGACGTATTCACTATTCCGACTTCGGACGTATTAACACATTGGTATCTACGCTAAGGGTTCACCATAGACAGGCCCGAAGCATAAATTTCCTAGGCACCGCCCTAAAGGTGGTTGCAGGAACACCGGACTTTGACGATTGGCAACAGGTTAGATTCAAGCAAGGACACTTAATAGAAGCAGAAAACAGACAAGTAGAAATTAATACAAAAATTCAAGAACGATTAAATTCAATCATGGACGCCCTTAACTCTATCTACAAGGCCTATATGAGACTATACTGGCAGAAAACAGGATAATTTCGGATTTATATTGCTTTTAACTCTAACTTTAGCTAAAATAGACCTCATCAGCCCAACTATCCTGAACAACGTCGACATCCGAGAAGTCATGAATGAACATCTCACAAACGTTAGTGTAGCTAGCATTCTAGGAGTCTCTAGTATTAAGGCTTTTTAAAATAATGACATTTTGCACATCTTAATTATGTTCCCAATCCTTCAACTTGTTTGTAAGAAAATCATTGCGCCGCTACATGCAACACACGCACTGGACACCTGGATCCCATTACGGTGGTCGACGAGGGTGTTATCATCATTAACGACGCAACCATGGACGTCAGCATCCTCCAACGCGGACAACTAACTAATCTCTGGAACCTATCTTCTGACTTTCATCAACCACCAAGGCGTCTTGCAAAAGAGCCCAGTCGTCTCGGCAATGTCACAGATCAACGTGCCAGCACGCCGAGAAAGACTCAGCATACCTTTCCTGTATGAGCTGAGCAACTACTATCAAAACCCATCATGAGCAGTTGTGCCACGGTGGTCATCTTTCTTGCTTGTTGCGTAGCCACTTATCCGGGGAAGGAGTTAATACGCGCAACAAAGTTGTTACTGAGTGCGCCGCGGTACCGGATGCCCATGGTCATCGGTCAGCAAATTCTGGCTGTTGAACGGGCAACGATACCCGATACCCTCGCATGCGCACGCTGAGTAACCAGCGATGGACGCTCACGAGGCGCTGACTCAGCCGCTGACTAACCCGTTTCGGTTAATTTATACAATACCTGCTGTTCGCTCTTAACGTGCACAATAGGATGGTGACAAGTTCTGATTTCTTGGGCAAGGCCCTAAAGGTTGTCAATCGCACTAAGGCCCAGCTGGTCGATTCAATCAAAACGGAAATCGTTATAGATTCCAGGACACAAGGGTACCTATACTAGTCAAAAGAATTCAAGGGTCATGCTGATCGAAAATCCATTTTCAAATATTTTCAAAATATCTTCAATAATAATTTAATACATTTAAGAATTTAACCCCTACATTAAGAGTTCGCCATCTGTTCTGGTTGCAAACAACACCCTCATTCTAAAACTCTGATAAGATCATCGAGAAATGTAAAAAACAGATATCGGCTCTAGCTCTACCATATCTCCAGCAGATGAGAGAGGAGGACTTACAATTCGTCAAGACGAGGTCTTGTCAGCTTTTATCGCTACTTAAAGGCCGAGGACGGCCGTTCTTAAAGAGGGGAAGTAGTTAACCACCCATTGTAGTGGGCCATCCATAAGGCTTAGATTTAAATCTTCTAATGTATTTTTTAGTATTTGTGTTAAGAACATCTGACAGAATAAATGTCTTGTATTTCCGACTCGCCTTACTTTTAACAGAGTAATTATGCTTTGTTTGATGTTAGGTTCGCTGTGGGCAGCCTGCTTGCTTGGGTATTTGTATATATGCATGTGTAATCTTGAGTAAACATGTATACATGATTCGAATGCTTGCATCGGTAGCTGAGGGTGTATTCTTGTTGGCCACTCCCGACTATGCCCTTGTACTTGTTCTGTCGTTGAATTTTAGCTCAAAAAGTAAACAAGGCAACGCCAGGAAAGCATAAAAAATGATTACACACGTTCGCTTACCTAAGTTATTAGCATTGACGATATTTTCGTTGTTACATTTAGCTGATGTGGTCGCAGTCAAAATTGGTGGATTCTTAAAAAAAGAATTTTTAGAACACATTACGTTTTTGTCAATACTATAAATCAATGTAAATTGTGTTACCTGATCGACTTTATCATAATCAGCACTTTCCAAAGAAGAAGAATTGGTTGCTTCTAAAGATGCATTTTGGTAATCAACCGGTACAGTATTATTTGTATTACTTGGGCTTAGCCGTTCCTCAGGTTCTAAAATAGATGTGCTTGTTGGGCTGAGTGGCTTATTATTTGCTTCCTCGAGCAAATTTTTCTTTGGGCTTACAGCATTAATAGATTTCGAAAACTAATTTATTATTTTCACCACTTGGGCTTTTTAGTGATGGTATGATGACGTCCGTTTGCGACTCTTGTATAGATTCAAAGCTATCTAATTGAGGGCTACATTTTGTAATTGACTCTTTTATATTAATGTCGTTTTGCACTGTTTTAATATTGTCCTCGGCTTGCTCATTTATATTAACATTATACTCGGTAATAACATCGTTATCTATTTCAGTTTGAAGTTTTGAAGTTTTATCACCCACAGCTGTTTTTGTATCCTTCTGCCGATCCTGTCGTGCATTTGTATTTTCATTTCCATGGTCTTCTAATATTGGTTGATTTAAGTTATCATGAACACTTATGTCTGAAAAAAATAAAATGGTAAATTGGACTCTAACAACAATATAGACTGGCGTAGTAGAGAAACCCAACTGAGATACATCCAGCTCCCAGCTCCGAGCTGCTGGAACCCATTTGTTGCGAGTAGAGGCTACATCGCTATGAAATTAACCCTCACTAATGATAGCAAAGTATATGTCGACAGTACACCAGCCATACGTTTGAGTTGCAAATTTTATGTTGGTGTATCATAGGGAGGTGGTTTAAAATACCCTAAACTCACGGCCAAGCTGCTAATACAAATAAAACCAAAGCTCAGAACTGTTTTTTTTTTATTATGGTATAGTAAGTGTTGAGTTGCTTATGTTTTTTAGCAACTGTTTTGAAACTTTAGCTAAGAAATAAAGTCTATTTTGGCTTTTAACAACAACACGTTATAATTCAGTTTAATTTATCGAAATGTTTTAGATTGTAAGATAATTTGGCTGTGGCTCAGAAAAGGTTCTTCGCTTCGCCTCGATCAACAACGAAGAAGTGTGTAATAGAAGAAGATATGCATTTTTATAGCAGCTGTGACAAGTGCAAGAGAGGATTGCCAACCTCGTTTACAAAAAACAGCTGTTTCACTAAACTAAGGTTACAACGTCTTCTTATGTTTACATGAATATTTGATTATGCTGATTTGATGCGGCTGCTGTAGAATCCAACAGTAAGGATTAGTCCGTTCTGTGTATGATATACTAAAAACTTTTCACATTACCTCTACGGGGTAATCACCTGCCACTCATGATTGCGGTTTAGGAAGGGAACCTCAATGCAACATTTAAACGCTAGAATGATAGCATTAACGAAATTGTATTTTTAACAAACCTGAAAGGGAGAATCATACTGTCAGGGCAGAATACTTGCTTGATAAAATGGCCCTGAATCAGACGCAGCTACAATTTACAGTGAGTTATACCTGACGGTGTACGTCATTGATACGATAGAACCGCCGGTAAACTCGACAAACTTCAGAAATCAAATCATACTGAACGCGATAAATTGTGACAACCCTTTAAGCAGATCACTGCCGATTATTACTTCCCAAAATGCTGACCAAGTTAAATGAGGTAGTCATGAACGTAAAAGTATACTTGAAAGCAAAGTACAACAGGCATACAAAAAAACAGGAACTTAGCCCTACGACAATCCGCTCATCCACAGGGAAATGTCATTTAGATTCCCCTTACCTGCATCGACTAATTTTCGAAACTTGCTACAGTACAGTGTATAGCCTCACCTCCCATAGGCCTATAGGCATTTTACACACCTCCACAGCCAGTTTTCATTAGGAAATAAAGAATAGAGTACTGTGGGCCCAAACCTCACAAAACATAAGGGTGGTACTAAAAGGAAATAGGAGGCTAGGGAATAAACTTACTCCAATATGTACACATAGGGACATATGTCCTCATTAAAAGAGAAGAGTGGTCAACAAAAGACTCACCTACCGACTATAATCATTTCTTGCTTCCTTTATAGCTTAAGACCTATGATTTTAGGTTCCTCCACCTGATACCCTTCCTACTAGCTACAGTGACACCGTGTGTTACGGATTACTCGCACTCCAATTATTTATCAATTTTGGACGACGATGTACTTGTAAGGGACAATCACTATGTCTCACTCTACGGAATATGCGCAAGTAAGTAGAACTTGAAAATGAAGAACACGTTTCAACAATTTCATGTGCGTAAGGTTTTGGAGGTCCGCTCTAAACGTGCACAATAGGATGGTGACAAGTTCTGACTTCTTGGGCAAGGCCCTAAAGGTTGTCAATCGCACTAAGGCCCAGCTGGTCGATTCAATCAAAACGGAAATCGTTATAAATTCCAGGACACAAGGGTACCTATACTAGTCAAAAGAATTCAAGGGTCATGCTGATCGAAAATCCATTTTCAAATATTTTCAAAATATCTTCAATAATAATTTAATACATTTAAGAATTTAACCCCTACATTAAGAGTTCGCCATCTGTTCTGGTTGCAAACAACACCCTCATTCTAAAACTCTGATAAGATCATCGAGAAATGTAAAAAACAGATATCGGCTCTAGCTCTACCATATCTCCAGCAGATGAGAGAGGAGGACTTACAATTCGTCAAGACGAGGTCTTGTCAGCTTTTATCGCTACTTAAAGGCCGAGGACGGCCGTTCTTAAAGAGGGGAAGTAGTTAACCACCCATTGTAGTGGGCCATCCATAAGGCTTAGATTTAAATCTTCTAATGTATTTTTTAGTATTTGTGTTAAGAACATCTGACAGAATAAATGTCTTGTATTTCCGACTCGCCTTACTTTTAACAGAGTAATTATGCTTTGTTTGATGTTAGGTTCGCTGTGGGCAGCCTGCTTGCTTGGGTATTTGTATATATGCATGTGTAATCTTGAGTAAACATGTATACATGATTCGAATGCTTGCATCGGTAGCTGAGGGTGTATTCTTGTTGGCCACTCCCGACTATGCCCTTGTACTTGTTCTGTCGTTGAATTTTAGCTCAAAAAGTAAACAAGGCAACGCCAGGAAAGCATAAAAAATGATTACACACGTTCGCTTACCTAAGTTATTAGCATTGACGATATTTTCGTTGTTACATTTAGCTGATGTGGTCGCAGTCAAAATTGGTGGATTCTTAAAAAGAAGAATTTTTAGAACACATTACGTTTTTGTCAATACTATAAATCAATGTAAATTGGTGTTACCTGATCGACTTTATCATAATCAGCACTTTCCAAAGAAGAAGAATTGGTTGCTTCTAAAGATGCATTTTGGTAATCAACCGGTACAGTATTATTTGTATTACTTGGGCTTAGCCGTTCCTCAGGTTCTAAAATAGATGTGCTTGTTGGGCTGAGTGGCTTATTATTTGCTTCCTCGAGCAAATTTTTCTTTGGGCTTACAGCATTAATAGATTTCGAAAACTAATTTATTATTTTCACCACTTGGGCTTTTTAGTGATGGTATGATGACGTCCGTTTGCGACTCTTGTATAGATTCAAAGCTATCTAATTGAGGGCTACATTTTGTAATTGACTCTTTTATATTAATGTCGTTTTGCACTGTTTTAATATTGTCCTCGGCTTGCTCATTTATATTAACATTATACTCGGTAATAACATCGTTATCTATTTCAGTTTGAAGTTTTGAAGTTTTATCACCCACAGCTGTTTTTGTATCCTTCTGCCGATCCTGTCGTGCATTTGTATTTTCATTTCCATGGTCTTCTAATATGGGTTGATTTAAGTTATCATGAACACTTATGTCTGAAAAAAATAAAATGGTAAATTGGACTCTAACAACAATATAGAATGGCGTAGTAGAGAAACCCCAACTGAGATACATCCAGCTCCCAGCTCCGAGCTGCTGGAACCCATTTGTTGCGAGTAGAGGCTACATCGCTATGAAATTAACCCTCACTAATGATAGCAAAGTATATGTCGACAGTACACCAGCCATACGTTTGAGTTGCAAATTTTATGTTGGTCTATCATAGGGAGGTGGTTTAAAATACCCTAAACTCACGGCCAAGCTGCTAATACAAATAAAACCAAAGCTTAGAACTGAATTTTATTATGGTATGGTAAGAATAAATCCGTTCTGTTTATGATATACCAAAAAGCTTTCACATGACCACTACGGGGTAAAACGCATTTAAATTTTTAATAATCACCTGCCACTCTTTATTGCGGCGTAGGAAGGGACTTCCAATGCAAAAATTAAATGGAATATAGTTAATCTCCTCTTCGTCACTTAACTGAGGCATATGTTAAACACCTCTACACCTACTTTTCACCATACTTCACAGAAAGAAAAGGTGTTAGTACTAGGAATCAGGAGGCTAAGGAATTAACCCATTTACTTATGTGCCAAAGAAAAGGTGGGAGAACGGTCCTTATTAAATAAGGAGTGTGGACAACTTCCAATAAAATACGCAGGCTCAAAGTCAAATCAAGCCAATCATTCAATAAGATAAGACGGCAGAGCTGAAATCATTGTGTTCGGAACAAATCTTATCATGTTCGCGAACTATTGTTTTGCAACATCAATGGCCACAATATAGTCGTGTCTCTCCTTTATACAGCAGATAAGAGATGAGTACTTAAAATTCGTGAGGACATGGTCGCAAAAACAGACGATTACAACATCTTTACACGCTAGTTGAGGGACAAGGACGGCAAAGGGCTTACCTTAGATCTTCTAATGTATTTTTAGTCTTTGACTAAACTGAGAACTTCGACCAAAACAAAAGTTTTGTATTTACGACCTGCTTTGTTTTGAACAGAGTAATTCTACTTTGTTTGGTCTAAGGTACCCTGTAGGCAGCCTGCGTGCTGGAGTGTGTTGTATATAAATGTATGTTTTTGGATATATATGTATATGTATGTTCGAATAATTGTATCGCCAGCTTAGGTTACATCCTAGTCGGGTACTACCAAATTGTACTTGTTCAGTTGTTGATTTTTGGATTGAGGGTTTAAAAACGTGATTTTATTGTAACATGCAAAAGTTACATACTCGCAGCCAAATAAGACAAAAAGCTATGACAATATGAATAGAGATAAAACTTACTACACAGCTTCGCTTACCTAAGTTTTTGGCATTGACGATATTTCCGTTGTTACATTTAGCTGATGTGGTCGCAGTCAAAATTGGTGGATTCTTTAAAAGAGAATTTTTAGAACACATTACGTTTTTGTCAAAACTATAAATCAATTCAAATTGGTTTACCTGATCGACTTTATCGTAATCAGCACTTTCCCGAGAAGAAGAATTGGTTGCTTCTAACGATGCTTTTTGGTAACCAACCGGTACTGTATTATTTGTATTACTTGGGCTTAGCCGTTCCTCAGGTTCTAAAATAGATGTTCTTGTTGGGCTGAGTGGCTTATTATTTGCTTCCTCGAGCAAATTTTTCTTTGGGCTTACAGCATTAAAAGATTTGGAAACTAATTTATTATTTTCACCAATTGGGCTTTTTAGTGATGGTATGATGACGTCCGTTTGCGACTCTTGTATTGATTCCAAGCTTTCTATTTGACGGCTAAATTTTGTAATAGACTCTTTTATATTAATATTGTCTTGTACTGTTTTAATGTTGTCCTCGGCTTGCTCATTTACATTAACATTATATACGGTAATATCATCAATATCTATTACAGTTTGAAGTTTTGAAGTTTTATCATCCTTCTGCCGATCCTGTCGTCCATTTATATTTTCATCTCCATGGTCATCTAATATGGGTTCATTTAAGTTATCATGAACACTTATGTCTGAAAAAAATAAAATGGTAAATTGGACTCTGAGAACAATATAGACTGGCGTAGTAGAGAATACCCAACTAAGATATATCCAGTTCCCAGCTCCGAGCTGCTGGATCCCATTTGCTGCGAGTAGCGGCTACGTCGTTATGAAATCACCCCTCACTAATGATAGCAAGGTATCTATCGACAGTACAATAGCCATACGGTTGAGTTGCAACTTGCAGGTGGTTTCAATTATCGTAATCCCATTGAAAAACTGCTAATACAAATATTTGAACTTCCTGCTATGCATAAACACGCTTTAAAAAAAACAAAATCATAAAATTTTTAAGATCGTACTGAATTTTATAGCTTTTACATGACCTCTACGGACTAAAACACATTAACAGTTTTACTGATCATCAGTCACTCATGTTTGCGGCTTAGGAAAGGAACCTCAATGTAAAAGTTAAACGCTGGAAAGCTCGTATTGGTAGATCTGTACTAATATCGTTTACAACACAGATGAGGAGAGTAATATTGCTGATACTTTGTCAGGCAGAATATAAACTCGTTTGAAAAAAGTGGTCCCAAATCCGATGAGGCTACACTATATAGTAAATAATACCTGCGCTGGACGCATTTGATTATAAAGAAAGTCGATAAGCTCCTTCAGAAATCCAATCAACTTAGATGGGGGACGTTTTTAATTTTGTGCAGCCAGAAGACCTACCCCTCTGTCAGATTAATTTTTAAAGATCTCCTTGCAATAAAATTAAATCCGATATGACCCCAAAATAACGTAACCGTGATCCACTGTGATTTTTTCGACGACTAACCGACAGTTTGACAACAATAAAAGGAGTTAAATTACGACAACCGAAAATTACAGCGCCAATAAAGATGCTCAAACATACAAGCGAGGTACTCCTGTAAAAAAAAAAAGTAAAAAGGACCTCGGCCCAACGCCAATCTCCTCATTCACAGGAAATGTTACAAAATGAGTTGTCGACCATCATAAAGTTTTTCCTCACCTGTATCGTCGACTCAAAAACGTTGAAAGTGACGCTGCTGAGCATTTTCCCGCAAGCAAGACAATTTTATTGCGACAATGAACTCTTCTCGCTTAATTCAGAGACAATAATGTCTTTGCTGCTGATTAATTTAAACGTAAGCATCACCAACGCAGTACTTCCATATTACAGAAGAGAGAGGCTCCAAAACAACTTTCTAGAAGAAGTGAGATACCTTAAGCCTAAAAAAGCGATCGACAAGACGATTGACCTCATCCGATTGATACTCTCCGTCACTTAGCAAAGGCCCATGGGCGTTTTACATCTACCCCTACATCCAGTTTCCTCTAGGAAATCAAGAATAGATAACAGACAGGTGAAACCTCCCAGAATTTATTTTAGGATCCTCCAATTCATACCCTTCCTACCGGCTAAAGTGACAGCGCTTGTGACGGATAACTCACACTTTGACTATTTATCGATCTTGAACAGTGAGGAACTTGTATAGGACGGACATACTGATTACTCTTAAATGAAGGACACAATCCACAATCCCAGATGCGTGAGATTTTGGAGTACCGGATATATACAAAATCAATTGTCCGCTATAACTATAAAATCAATAGTATAATACATTTTATTATTGAGTAGCCTAGATTTAAAAACCTTATTACAAAGTTTACTATCTTCACGGTTCCGACAACAAGCCAAGCCAAGTGAAAATAGATACTGGCAGATACCGGCGAGCGGAAAATCACAACATTATCGTTGGTTGACGGAGGGTTCATAATTTTCAATGAACGGTCAGCAACAAAAAGCTTTGCCGGCAGAGCTGAAATCAGCGTGGTCTGAACGAATCTCACTCATAACATTCAATTGATTGTCAACCTTAACAGCATTAAAAGCCGGCTGCTAAATATCAATGGCCACAATATGATGCTTAGTCTCCCCTATCTCCAGCAGTCGTGAGAGGAGTACATTAAATTCGTCAGGACGAGGTCATAGCCAGCGGGCTTAGCTAAAAGAAAGCATTTAATGTATTTTTGGTCTTTGAGTCTTGATTAGATGGAACACATCGAGCGGATATAATCTTGCGATAACCGACTCGCTAACTCTTAACAGAGCAATTATACTTTTTTTTTACAAGCATAATGTGTGGCGTAAGGTCCGCTGTAAGCAGCCTGCGTGATTGCGTGTATGTATATTCATATATCTTGAGTATAAATTTATATACTAGCGGGTGTAACCCGGCGTTGCCCGTGGCACGTATAAAATAAATTTTATCAAAAAGCTTTAAAAATGATTTTGACACTGATCGGACGGTAAACAAACAACTATCAAACAAACGTTTTCCGCCAATTTACCACTTTTGCGGATGGAATTTTCCAATTCGCTGAAACACGTATTCCTTGAGTTCCTAAGTTTGAAGCTAATCGGATAAAACCTCAGACTTCACCAAAAAAATATTTTTATTGCATTTTTCACCGTGAAAGCTTTGATTTTACCAAAAATGTTAAACACGTCTCAAATGATTTTTTATGTAGATCCATGGTAACGAATTTAAGGGCGAAACACCACCCACCAAATCATTGACCCCAATTTCCACAAAAGAGGGATGGATTTCCTAAAAAGTGCGAAATACCCCTTGGATGAATTTTTTATAAAGAGCTTTGAAAATGTTTTTGTAGCCAATCAGATGGTAATCAAAAAAAACTATTGATATAAACATTTTCCGCCAATTTACCACTATTGCGGTTGGATTTCGCCAAATCGCTGAAACACTTTTCCTTATGTTTTTATGAAGAGCTTTGAAAATAGGTTTGAAGCAAATCGCATTTGAATCACATTTCTACCGGAGAAGTTTGGACTCTGCGAAAAGTACGAAACACGTTTGAAAATATTTTTCATAGAAATTAATTTGAAATTAATTTGAATCATCATCAATCATTGACCCCCATTTTCACCAAGGAGGAATGCATTTTTCGAAACACTGCTCTAATGAATTTTAACAAAGATCTTTGAAAATGAGTTTGAGGCCGATCGGATAGTAAACAAAAATTTTGCATACAAACGATTTTCGCGACTTGTCCCTTCACCACATAAGGCGACTACAGTGAAAATTCAGCTTCCTATCTTTTACGGCTTAGGCTGTGCGTTGATCAGCAATCAGTCAGTAAATAAGACTGACAGGACAAATAGTTTTATATATAGAGCTGTATAAGAGGAGGCTCTAATAATTTATGGGTTACTCAAGGTATATCTTAGTCGACCCTCTTGACTTGACCGCATTCCTGGTTAATGTCATTATTTTTGTGACTTGAACCCTACTTGCTCTTATGAAGCTTCGATTTATCCCGAATCCGGGCGAGTTCTGAGGTCTCTGGCTGATCGCGTAGCTCTCTCCTGTTGACAAGATACACACGGATTCCGTTTGGTAAGCACGGCTATGCCCAGAAAACGCACTTATCTTTGAACAGGATACACCAACGTTAGTGTTAACGCTATAATGTGCCCAGCAGATCTTCACTGGCTTGAGCACAGAATGACTCAGGGTTGCAGCCGTTGGTCCTGGCATCCGTCGTAGCTTGGAAATGCCCTGTAAGGCGTCTAGGCTGTTCTTCGGGTTCCGATTATAAATATTTTTTCTGATCTAACGCCCATTATCCTCTTTCCTTATTCGGCGCCGTGTTTTGTTTAGGTGCGTATTTTTCCATGCGGTAAATAATTTGCATTTATTCATAGGTTTTTTCTAATTTTTTTTTTGTAATAATTTGTATACCCGGTAGCGTTGTTGGTTGACCCATACTATGCATAATCCCTGGCATCTGAAATCGTCTGTAGCGGCATCTCCTCCTGCCTTAGCTCATAGCGCCATTGTTTTGGGGGCTGTTGCTCCTGTGGTTGGGTTGCCTGCTTCTGTGCCTGTTGCTGCTGTTGAGCCTGCTGCTGTACCTTTTGCCGCAGCAGCTCCAGATGCTTTGACAAGTAGCTGCTCTTGTCTTCCGGCTTTTCGAAGTCCCGTCTCCTGCTGTGCTTTCCGGCTATCTCTTCTTGCGGTACATCTTCAAATTATCTTCTGACCAGCGTGCTAGGATCCACCGGGTGGGTCCCACAAACTACGGGCTCCTATGATTGTCTCTGCTTGTGACTTCAAAAGGCTTTTATAGCATGTAGTGCCACTGCTAGAGCTGGAAAACAATCGATTGGATTATCGATTATATCGATGTATTTGGTGTTTTGGGAACTATCGAAGATTTTTTGGAGCTATCGATGTTTTCCCAGCTCTAACACGTTTTGAGCTAAATAAAGCGACAAGTAAAATAATTTTAAATAGAATAATTTTTTTATTTTGGCCTTCTCTTGGAAAATAAAATATCGCAAAAATTGGAATCATCACGGTCGGATGCTATTATTGGTTAAGAAAAACCAAACGAGCTGGAAGACCCAAATTCACCTGTTTATTGAATGGTAATATAGTTCAATAATTGTTAATGCAAGCTAAAAGTTTTTAACCCAAAAATGTCCTGTTTTTTTTTTCAAATAAATAGCGAGAGCCTACAACCTTTCTACAATTTATTTTGCATTCCGGCGACGTGCACCGAAAGAGACTATTTAACAAAGCCGGTCAAATAATTTCAGATCGCAAAAACATAAAGGAATTTTAATCTTAGCCTGATCTCACAAAAATTGTGTAGGAAATGTTACTTATTTTTAGAGAAAATAATAAATTTTTTTCTTGTTAATATAACAAATGTCTTCTAATTATTTTCTTTTTGAAAAGATTGATACTATCGAATTTTTGCTTAAAAACAATCGAAAACATCGATGGTCTCAGATATCGATGTTTTTCCAGCTCTAGCCACTGCGTCGCTGCAGTAGACGTCGATTTTTTCTTTTTTCTCTTTCCTCAGTTCGTCTCTATCTTTTAATTTGTGAGTGTCTGTTCTTCGTATCTTTGCGATTATTGTTAACGGCTCTCTTTACGTTGCATTGCTTGTGTATGTTTTCGCCTATACA